ATGGAGGTAAAAAAATGAATATTTCCCTAGGAACCTTATGCTGAGAGGCAACCCAAAAGGAGTAAGACTATCTTACAAGAAGCGGCGGAAGCCCAAACAAAGACGGGTAATTGTAGGCAGGACCACACTTTGGCCAGGTTGCATTTTTCTTGCCTTCTATTTAAACCTCACCATCATTTCAAAACCCACAAAGATGGAGGGGTTATTGGATGGATATCTCTGTGCCACCTCCCAATGTCACAGAGTGAAAATCTTTTTCTGCTTTTCATTATTAACTCGGTTCTTTTAACTGGCGGATTGAGGTGGCGGAAGTGTGCTTGTTGGGGTATGCACAGGCCAGGACTCCTCCATAAGTTCAGTAACGACTCTTAAACCATTTTTCTTGCTCATCTCAGTTTGTGCCTGCTAACTAATGGTCAAGCATGACCTCACGGATCACCTTGACTGTCTACAGCGGTGGTGCAAGACGAAACAGAAAAGGGAAAGGAGCTCTCCGATTAAGTTCATCTGTTCCCACCCTCGGCCCAGGCTTTTACTCAACCTCTGGTTCAGGATCCTAAGGCAATGCTCCAGACAGAACAAACTCTCTTTGGCTCCCAACACGTCTCCCGCCCATCCCTCATCACAGCCTTTCGGCCCGAGCAGAAAGCAGCACAGGAGCTTGTCCTCCCTGGGCTAGAGTGGTCTGGAGGAGCAACAGAACCCACCGTCAAGCAGTACCTACATTGCTTCCGGCTACGGGCACAATAAATCCCACTAAGCAAGGACCGGAGGCAGAAGGCTAACGGGGAACGAGTCCGGCCAGGAGTCCCGGCGTTCGGCCTATCTTTGCTCTTAGCACACAAGATTAAAGACAATAAAGCAAGGAAAGGCCAGAACGCCGAACGCCACACTCACCCACACAGTCATCCACGATTCTGTTTGCGGAAACGCCGGCCGGAGCCACGCGTGCCTTGTTTCGTCACTTCCGGGGAGTGTCCCCGGGACTAGTAATTCGAAAGCCAGACTTGGAGCGTGGCTTCCTCCGCGTCGGAACTACCAGTCCCATGGTACCTCGCGCGGCGGCGTGCCTCTGGCTCTGCGAGCGGGCACGGAGGGTCGGAGCACGTTGCTAGTGGGCGCGGCTGGCCTGGGCGGTGGAGGCCTAGCTTTTGCTGGAGTCGTGAGGTTCGGCACCTTGCCTTACCCTTGGCCGGGTCGCCCTGCTGAGGCAGCTCCTAACGTCCCGTGCGGCGGGAATCCGTGGAGACGTCCCCACATCCTGAGAGGTAGCCTGGGTCCGTGTTTGCTGTGGGGCTTCGGGAAGGGACCAGAGGGCACCTTCACCGCGGGCGTGTGTCTGACGGCAGCGGAGCGCGCCGCTGACGGTCTGTCGCGGCCTCCCTCCTGACGGGCGGGAGTCGTCAGCACTCCGGACCCACCGCCGGGGGCAGTCGAAAGAGGTCACCCCTGTCCCGGGTTCATCTGTATTTACACCCTCTCGCGTTATGACCCTTAATGCCCTGCTCTTCCGTCCTTGCTAGTTGGAATGTCCTATGGAAAATACTAACAGTTTTCACCTTTGGAACTGGCCGGCCACTTCTGATCGCCTTGTTTTTAGTCGAGCGGTACTCTCAAGGGAGGTATACCATTACAGGCTTTCCCCCCAAGACGAGGGTCAGAACCTACCTGTGGGTTAAGATAGTTTACGCACCAACACATTTAACTTGCCTATTTCCCCTTCAAAGTTGTGCAAAACCACTATTAGATTTGCAATGTATCCTGACTGACTCTTCAGCAAATTTGGTCCATCCAAAGCCGCTTTGAAAATTAGTTTTGCTAATCCACCTGTTTGTAGGCAATTTTATTAGCATGGTCTGGGGAAAAATAGATTTGCAGCATATACCTCCCAATATGATCGCTTGCAAATTGTGGAGATTAGCCCTTCTGAGGTCGTTGACCCGTTTATAAACCTTGAACTCCTCAACGGCTTCCTTTTTAACAAGTATGACAAATCGATTTTAGATAACTGGGATTGTGTAATGTATTATATGCCATTATCCAGTTTGAGAGTTAATTTCCGTTCAAATGCAAAGGGATTGGCACTAGACCCCCAAAGCTCTGTGTGCATTTTGAAACATTGGAATTTGTTGTATCCAGTGATTGAGGGGTTTTTTTTTGGGGGGGTCCCTCCTCCCCCAGATAATTGCTGTTATCATCTTAGAGAAAATAAACCGGATTTTGACCTTTAAAAAACTTTATAACGACAGAATTTCAACATATAGTGCAGACTGGATTTAAACTCATGATTTTCCTACCTCAGCCCTCCCCAATGCAGGGATTACAGGAAGACACCAACCACACCTGCCTTAAATCTTTCTCTTAATGGATTTAATTCTCCTTAACTACATGTTTATGTGATTTCCACAATGTATTGATGTTACGAGTTCAAACTTTATATATTGGTAAAGATATCAAACTTTGTCTCTTTGTCTTAGTGCTGTCCGACTTTCCAGAAATCGAGTTAAAACAATGAGAGCTAATATTTTCCTATTTTTTAGTACCAAGCTAAGTGTTGGTACTAAAAAGTGTTGGTACACAGATCCCTTGCTCATTTTCTTATGTAATCCAGTAGAGTAGTTAGGCTTGTTTTTGTTTTTCAAATTAGGATTAAATTTGTTTGCCAAAGTCAGTCTGGCAAATAGTGGACCCAGGATTTGGTCCCTGGACCTTTATACTAACAATCAAGCAGGGTCTAGAAGGTCACTCAGAGCTGAAAATTTCAGCATGTACATTTTCAAAAATATTTTCACAATTCTTAAAGTTCCAGTTAGCATGTTGAGAGAAAATAGCTGGTTAAGGGTGTTGCTTTGCCAGTATATGAGTTAGTCAGACTATAACCATCATTTTCCTCAGGTTCATTAAACAAATGCTACATAGTAACTACTTAGTGAATGACTAAATCTCTAAGGGAGTGGGGAGACCATTTGATTCGTATTTTTTTTAAAATGTAACAAGGAATTTATTTGAAACCATTTATAAAAAAAGTGAATATATTTCTCAGAGAACACTTTTTTTCAAAGATTTATTTATTATATGTACAGTGGTCTGCCTGCATCTATGCTTGCATACCAGAAGAGGGCACCAGATCCCTTTACAGATAGTTGTGGTTGCAGGGAGTTGAACCTCTGGAAAAGCAGTCAGTGTTCTTAACTCTGAGCCATCTTCTCTAGCCCCTTAGGTGCACTTTTAAGGTGTGGTCTTTGTTTTTAAATTGAGTGTAGTTTTTGAAATGTGATATTGTTTCTAAGATGTAGATAAGATGCCTGAACTTCTTAAGAATGATTTTATTCCTTGGTGACAAAAAGTGTAAAGAGTTTGACACTTTACCTGCTTACCTGTGTCTGCCTGTGCTGAAAGTTTATATCTCTTTAAAGCAGAGAAAGATTGTTCTAAAATTGCTTTTTTTCTAGAGTTGCAAGGGATATTAAATTGAGGAGTCTACATGTGGTGACTATATATGTCCATTCAGGCTATAGTACCTAATCTTTAATCAAATACTAATTTCAGGGTTTGTTAGGGTATTTTGAAGGTATAGTTACCTGTTGACTTTCAAGGTGATTACTGTCAATAACAACCTCTATCTTAACTTAGATATAGTTATAAATGTTTCAGTCTTGTGTCTAACTTTCCTGTTGGTTTTATATTGCTGGAAAAACCTGACTACAGATTTTGTACTGAGTGTTTCCAGAGGTGGTAACACTTAAAAATATCTTTTATTGATCTAAAGTCGTTGTCATTATGACAGATTCCATAGACACTTTTTAAACTTCAGTATATTTAACCATATTCTGTCTGTATGTCCTCTACCTGTTCCCTTCCACCTGTCCCCTTTCTTTTTCTAAGATACGTTTACTTTGATGTTATATTCTTGTTTTCATATAGAGAGAGATGCTTTTATTAAATCTAGGATCCACATATAAGCAAAAACACAGCAATATTTTGCTTAGTCAGGCTTATTTCATGTAACATAGTAATCTCCAGTTGTATCCATTTCCTGGCAAATGGCAGTATTTCATACTGTGTGTGTGTGTGTGTGTGTGTGTGTGTGTGTGTGTGTGTGTGTGTTGGATATGTGAGTGCAGGAAGAAGTATGAAAGTCAGAATACAACCTTGGCTGTAGAGTCCTTGCTTTTTACCTTGCTGGAGACATGGTCTCTTTGTTGTACCAGTGACCTGAGTGTTTGGGTATTGTGTTCTCCCATCCGTTGTAGGGTCACTGAGATTAAAGACTGGCACCCACTCACCAAAGGGACCAGATTTGCTTGAGTTCTGGCAAGTCTAATTCAGGTCATCACAAATGCAGGCAGACACTACCCACTGTGCAGTCTTCCCAGCCCCATAGTTTCCTTCTTTATGGCTAAATAAAATTATTTTGTGTATGTGCCACATTTCCTACATCCGTCGATGTGTTAATTTACACTTAGGCTGAGTCCAGAGTTGGCTGCTGTAAGTAGTGATGCAGTAAACACGAATGTAGAAGTATCTTGTAGTGTATGGGCTTGTAGCTTTTCTTCTGTTTTGGTGAGTGAGTGTGTGTGTGTGTGTGTGTGTGTGTCCCTCTGTCCCTGTGTGTGTGCCCATGCGCATGTGTATTGCCAGGGGTAATAGCACTAAATCAATGTGGTAGTTTCAGTTTTTGTTTTTTCTGCACTGTCTGAGCTGGTTTATATTCTCATCAGCAGTGTATGAAGATTCCCTTTTCTACAAATAGCAATATTTGCTATTTTTTAATATCTCTGGGGGTTCTATGTGTGTTATGTTGATGTCTGTGTTTGTGTATTGAGTAGAGTTGTGGGCATTTGGACATCATAAGATAATCTTGGATCTTGATTCTTGCCCTTCTACCCTCAATTTTTAATGTTGACCCATAGATCTCACATGCTCTGCCTTGTTATTTTTGTCTGACTGTTCTCATTTATCTACCTTGTTTCCAGGATAATGTTCTGTCCTTGATTTGTTTTATTAGTAATAATTTCCACTGAAATTTTTATTTGGCATATTGAGGTTTCTGAAAATTTCTATTTTTATGTCTATTGCCTTTCCCCACAGTTTGTGTGTGTGTGGATGTGTGTGTAGTGTGCATGTGGTATACATGCCTGTGTATATATGTTTACATTGTGTGCAAGTGAGCATGCATGTGTGTGAATATGCATGTAGAGTCCCAAGGTTGATAATTTCATTGAGGCAGGGTCTCACTCAAACCAAGAGCTCAACCATATGAGTCTTGAGGATCCCCTGAGGACCCTCTCTCTCTGCCTTCCTTCCAGGCTGGAATTACTGGTGGCCCACCATGCCCACCCAGCACTCACATAGGTTCGGGGTATCTGAACTCCAGTCCTTACGCAGAGTCAGCCCTTGCTCCAGCTCCACTGTTTGTGTTTCTTTAGTGAATTCCCTTTTCATATCCCGTACTGTCTTCCTTAGTTCATCCAGCTTTGAAATCATTATATTGTCTTTGATTTTGTTGAACATTCATACAATCATTCTTTTGAATTGTTTTGAGATTCTATATACATCACTCACAGTGGAATTCATTACTATAGAATGAGTATGTTGTGAACAAGTTATATTGCTTTGATTTTTTCTGTTTCTTACATGTAGTGTCCATGTAGTGAGAATTCTGAATTGAGAATTTTCTGAGATGAGATCCATGATTATGTATTTGAATCACCTCCATTCTTTCAAAAGTGTTTACCATATTCAAGCAGAACTGGCTTATAGTAGAACTGAGTTGTGCTCAACAGTATAGCTCAGCTAAATCCTCCACTTGTGTGCTCAGAACACAGCCCAATGTAACCCAGCACTACTCTAATATAGAATATGATCAGCAGAAAAAACTATAACTGATGAGGACATCCACTAAGAAAATACATTAATAGGTTCTTGGAAACAAAACAATACTCTGTTAAACTCCAGTGACTCAGAATAAAGGAACTGCCACAGCATTGTGCATAGTAAGGGATTCCTTACTAAGGGAAGGAAGGGAGAGAAACAAGCAGAGTAAGGCTGATGCTTGGTGTCAAAGAGAGAGAGAGGAAAATAACTGAAGGGAGAGAGAGGCCATGCAGATCTCCTTCTGTCCTTTGGACTTCTTTTTCCTTTCTTTTCAAGCCTGGCTTTCCTACAGAGCATAGGCTAGTCTGGGGTTATCCCAGCCTCAGTCTTCTGAAGGCAGTATTATTTTAGTTTGTCTGACTGGATTCATATTCCTTTTCTCAGTCTACCT